GTGACTGGTCTTGGGCACTGGGACATTCCAAAAAACTGTGTCAACAAGCCTTTTCAGAACCTCCCATCCTTTGAGCCCTGACCCCGTCCCCTTCATTGACCTGGTATAGTAACCCTATTCCTCTGCTGTTCAGGGAATTACTTCTTATGGGGTGCTCCCACCTGAATGTGAAAATAGACTTTTCTCCTGTTAATCTTTCAATTACTTTGAAAGCCCCGGTGAAAAGGCATTGCTGGTTTGGATTAGGGTAGCAGCAGAGAGCAGGAAGATGTATCAAGTAAAATCACCCAGGACTTGGAATTTGGATATGGTTAGCAGGGATTAAGGAAACATGGGAATGAATCCCAGATCTCTGTCTAGGGCCCTTCAAAACCTAATACTCTGTTGGCTGAATGGCCTTCAAAATGTAAAACGTACTACAAAATCGTGTGTGTGTGTGTGTGTGTGTGTGTGTGTGTGTGAGTGTGTAGGTGGTGGGGCTAGCAGATAACTCCACAGCAAGCAGCAGAAATCCTCATGGAAAAAAATGCCTTGTTTAGCAAAAACATCTTGGTGAGCCATCTTTGATTCTGCATTTGGAGCTTGTCTAAAATGAGCTAAAAATTGGACAAAAAATATTGCTTGCATAATAAGGTAAGAACAGTGTTTTGCTCCAGCCAGAGATGGATGCTTCAAGTGTTCCAAGACCAGGAAAAGCAGTGGGGCCTAACACTGCTGGACCAGCAAGACATCAGGAGCTCAGTCCTGAGCAAAGTGTGCCTAGTGGCAAGTACTACCAATGAATAGGATGTCCGATGTTCACTTTACCATTACTTGCCCTGCTGTGCTGTAATATAATGTCCTCGTATTCCAAAATATACACCCAAATATTTAACCCAACTGCTTGGTGTGAATGTGTTTCAGGGAAACAAATAAAAACATGTGCTTCATAGTTGGGTCCATGCAGAATGGACAAAAGAGGGCGGCTGTAAGAGGAAGGACGTGGGAGAGATAGTTCAACAGCAGTGGGAACTGAGAACAAAGAGTAATGAGGGAGGACAAACCTCCTGACATTCACCACATCTACTGGGAAGTGGGGTGGAAGATGGGAAGTAGCAGCAGGGAAACAAGAAAGTTATTTTTCATGTTCTATGAGACTCACTGTAGGGGCCAAAGCAGTGCATTTCTGGCCAGCTATTGTAAGACAAGGCAGTTCTGAGCAAACTGGATGGCTAGGGCCACCAGGCAGCTGATGCATGAGTAAACACCTAAATGAGAATCTTTTAAATTATCTTTTCAGAAATCTAACTTCTGAATTTCCCCACTCTTTTTCTTCATTTCTATGCAAAAATGACAGCACTTCTCTACTTGGGAATGTAGGTTATCTCAGATACACACCCAGTATTCAGAGTATTAAAATTGGTATTATCTGTATCATATCTGAGATGTCCCGATTAAGTGAAAGAGCTGAGTGTTGGAACACAGGACAATAATACTGCCTGGAAAAGAAAGTAATACTGTACAATTTTTAATATTATGATTTCTTAATGCTCAGCAAGGTATAGGTTTTTCTTAATTACGACTCTTGAACTAATGAAAATGTCTAAATTCTAGTGTGAAAAAACTATACATTTTCCCTGGAATATCTAATAAGCAGTAAAATATATTGTGAAGAAAAATATATTGGAATGAATTATCTAATTTTTTAAAGTTTGTTTTCTTATTGTTTGAATTATTCCCCAAAGAGACCTCCTAGAAGCAGAGCAGTTTAAAAGATAAATGATTGTACCTGAAAATTATCCTCATGGGCTAACCTTTTAAAAATTATGTCTTTCATGTGTGATTTTCACAGACATTACTGTATTTGCTAGGTTATTGGCTCTATGGTTACCACCACAGAATTTACTATAAAGACAAAACTGGAAAATGAGTGGCTTTTTTAAGTTTAAAGTTGCAGATGCTTGGTTTAGATTATCCTCTGAATTTGTGTGTTCTGCCAGGAAAAGGTATAAACCTATTTACATTATGTTGATTTTATATCTTGGATATGATTTTTTTTAACTTTGCATAAATCAGGTTTTTATAGATTCGGTGGAAATTTTAAAATTAAATTTACTTTTTCAGTTGTGATAGAAAACTACAAACATGAGCATTGTAATTAGCTACCAGCTCTTCTTGCAACTCTTATCTGTCCATGCACAATTATTTGCAAAGGTCCGTGGTGTCAGTGAGCTAACCCAAACCTGTCAGCACTGCCCTACGAAGCAGGTAACAATTGAAATGAAATTGAAAGATTTAACTTGTCACTAAGGCTGATTCTAACATCATCTAATAGACAAGATATGCCCCTTGATCTTTCCCAGGAAACCAAGTCGACAGTGGCAATTTGGTATAAATTGAGTAGCCTTTCCACCTACAACTTTAAAGTAAAACTCACATCTTTAAGATCTTCATCGGCAGATAATTTTTGCAATAGCTGTACAAAATGGGAAGTGGACAAATGTTTTTGTTTTTAGACATAAAAATTCAGGAAATGAAACATAACCAGTCCTTTTATATTAGCTCCTTTTCCCAGTCTGTTAATTTCACGGTCTAACCAAAATTTGATATTTCATTATCCGAGCTCTCCAATGGTTTTCTCATATCAACGTTATCTCTAGAATTTGAGGAAATCTCAAGAATAGCAATACAATATTCTCCTCCTTTCTCTACCCTCAAAGCCATAGGTAAGGAGTCGGACTCTAAGAGAAAATATTCTTTTTGTTTGTGTATGGAATCGAATCATTAAAAGTAAATCTTTAGCAATATTTTCTCCCTGAGTATTTTGAAATTTGGGGGTGGATTTCAATGAAGAAGTTTTAGAAAGAAATGTTGGGCATTTGCAGGAGTGAGCACGTTTATCACAAAAATATGGGAGAAAAAAAATGAAAAGTTATATTTTATTAATTGGAAGGAAGACATCAAAACTAATGTTAATTTTAGTTAGCTGTTATTTCCTAAGAAACTAGCACATGATATTATTAAGCATTTTATTCTAAAATAAAACAGGCTCCCAGTCTTGAAACTGGTCAAAAATGGAAAAAATAAGATTGTAGCTTAGGTTCTCTCCCCCTTTCAAACACATAAGCTTTGTGTGCAACTTTACCCAAATAATTAAAATAGCTAATAAAGTTTTAAGTCACCAATTTCAGTCGTTTGTAGCATTTGTGGCAGTGGGAGAATTGAGAAAAAATTCCTAACGTGTTTCCCTCCCACTGTCTTTTCTTCATAATAAAGGTCACAATTTTGCTTTATAATAGATTGGATTATAGACAGTAGGGACTAAAAGTGACTCTTTCAGTCATCTAGACTCAATTTCTTGTTTTATACAGAAGAGCAAATTGAAACCCAGAGAATTTAAATGACTTTTCCAAGTTCACAAAGCTAAAAATAAAAAATAAAAAAAAAGTGGGAGAAGAGCTAGAAAATATAGAGCAGGGATGTTTTCTATGTTACTTATTTTTTTGTGATTGTTAGTTCAAACATGTTGGTCCTATAAGAGATGAATTCAGGTAAACCAACTGAAAATACTTGTACTTGCTTCTCAATATAATAAGGATAGAAAACAAAACCTAGAGCATAGGAAAGAAAAGAGGAACTGACCCACAGAACAAGTGAGACACAACATAACATGCTTTGGTTTTAAAGCCTCTGGGCCAAAATCACACTTATGATCTTGGTAACCAGAAAGAATCTTGTTCCTGGAATGCCTGTAGAGACCTGAATTAGTCATAAGCTTCTTAGGAAAGAATTCCTCCTTTGTTTGATATTGCTATGATTCTTGATTAGAACGGCAAGCAACCCTCTTTTATTGTTATGGGCCTAGTCATACTGCAATTGCCTGTATAACAAATACCTTGGAAACCTTTGACTAAAGAACCACCTATTTTGAATGACTTTCGAATACATTAGAATAAGATGGTCTCATGAGGTCTCTCCCTGCTCTATCATTCTTTCCTTCTAGGCGCCAACACAACAAATCTCACATGCTTGTTTCAGAGAATTAGAATAGCCAGCCAGCCATGCTAGAATTTCTAATGGTAGGCTTATTTCACTGAGGAAATAACCATAGAAATTATTCCAGAGTATTGCCAGAATCATTATTCTAAACAGTTTAAATAAGGAAGACTCAAAGGCCAATATCCAGCACAAAACAAGTCCAATGAAGTCATGGCTTTGGTCCAAATATTTGGACCATTTGATACCTAAAGTGATAAGACTGTCTCTGGTTTTCCTCAATCTTCAATCCTCCTCATGTCCACACATGTCAATCTGTTCCTGCCTGTAGCTGAAGGATAAAAATTCCTTTCTAATCTACTTTCACAGGTAGGAGACTGACCCAAAGCTCCATTCCGTTTTATTTAGAGCTTTTCTTTTAGCTAAAAGATAAGAAAGAAGCAGTCTAATTTTGAAGTCTCTAGGAACAACTTTAGATTGATATTATATTAAAATACAACATGCAAAATAATATCTGGCATCTTCTTGACATTCCAGGGGCATACTTGAAATAAGTGATGCCAAAAGGAGCTAAAAATGGTAAAGGAAATTACAGAAGTGTTTGACTATCATCCAAAAGATTCTAACAGAGGAAAATTTCCCTCCTCCCCACAGTCATCGTAGGGCCTTGTACTGAAGAATGCTAAAGATTTTAACTAGCTGGCAAAATACATAGCAGGTGGAAAAACATTTTGCACTTGGTAGCTGAACCTTTTCTTCTTATACCATTTTATGAACAAAAACAGTAATTGAAAAAACACACACAAAAAAAATCAGGAATAATTTCTAAATGATAGAATTCATTCTGTGTGAAAAACAGCCAGGTTCTGCCACCGTTTATAACAAAGAGCAACTCTTCCATGCTCAAATTTAATTCTCTGGTCTCCCGTTTCTCCCTGCCCCAGTGAAATACTGTGAACCACTCGCTGCATTTATTGTTATGAATCAACATGAAATTTGACAACACTTTTCCTTCCTCATTTCAGATGTGACTCATGGTTTAATCCCCCAAGGGCCAGAAGCTCTACTTCAAAGTGAGGAAACAAAAGAAGCACCTTTCATTGAAGCTGCTTTGCCCAGAGAACTCTAATAGTTACTACCCACTGACTTCTTAAGTACACATTGTAAAGCTAAGTGCTTGAAGTGTCCTCTCTTCTGCTTTCCCTGGGGGAAACCAATGGAGAAAAGCTGGAGAGGTGACCTGGCTGATAAATCCTGGACTTGAAGTTTATCAGTGGTGCTATTTAACCACCCATTATCTCTAGGATGCTGGTGGATTTTAGTGTGGGGAGCATCTTATTTCATTTTCAAGACTTTGGATCATCTTCCCTCCAGACCCCTCTGACTTTGCACACAGAAAGTAATAGATCTGAGCTATTCCCTGAAAAGCCTTTTGAATTTAAAACTTGACCCATTTTCTGCTGTGTGATAAACCACTACCCCACCTTCCCAGCCTCTCTCAGAAGGTGCTGTAGGGCTCAGTTCCCTGCGGAAATCGTAAGTTGTGTAGAAAAGCCTGTGGTCTTTCAAACAGGATTCAAATTAGAAGGGAACATAAAGAGTATGACACTCAAAGTAAGATTCGACTTACCCTTACTTGAAAAGAGGAAAAAATAAATACAAAGTTGAAGCCCCTTTATTTTTCTAAATCCTAGAACTATCTAGTCCTAAGAGAAACTGTTTCTTGGTGTAGAAGATGAGGAGAGTTGAAGTTAAACAATGATCCTTTTTCCATTTCTTAAAAAAAAAAAAAAAAAAAGAGCCACTGTATGTATGTGTGTGTGTGTGTGTGTGTGTGTGTGTATTGATTTCAGAGAGGAAGGGAGAGGAGAAGAGAGATAGGAGCATAAATGATGAGAGAGTCATTGATTGGCCACCTCCTGCACAGCACCTACTGGGGATTGAGTCTGAAACCTGGGCATGTGCCCTGACTGGGAATCGAACTATGATCTCCTTGTTCATAGGTCGACCCTCAACCACTGAGCCATGCCAGCTGGGCATACACAGGGGCCATTCTTGATAAGGTCCAAGGAAAGTCCAATGACAGTAGAGATTTTGGAAAATGGGGCGGAGCTCTCTTTTAAAAAAAAAAAAAAAAAAAGAGCCAGCAGAAGCAACTGCTCTGTTGGACAAATTGTTTCAGCAGATGTTCATTATCCCAGGGAGAAAACAGCTCCTACTTTGCAGCTTAACACTTGCACATTTAGAAACTTTAATATTTTTAACTTGAAATGGCCCATGTGGCATGAGTGAGATGTAAATAGTATAATCATTTATATGAACAAATGAGCAAGTGGTTGCATTTAATATTAAGTCCACAGAACGCTGGCACTGTTGTTATATCATTAAATGATGACGGAGCAATTGTTGCCCATCTGAGCTTCATGAGCTTTTAATATATATATATATATATATGTATATATATGTTTATGTATACACACACACACACACACAACAGATATAAATATTGGAATATAAATAAATTTTTCACATACACACATATATATGCATCTATATGCATAAGTGACTACACTTTAGGTTAAAATATAGTTTTAAGATTAGAAAAATAGGTTAAAATATAGTTTTAAAATTAGAAAAATATAAACCTAAGGGTAGCAATTTCTTTACTGAACTGGATTGTAATAGAACAAATGATTCTACATATAATAAATATATTCAAAAATTGATTATTGTGCCTGGCCGGTGTGGCTCAGTGGTTGAGCTTCAACCCATGAACCAAGAGGTGACCGGTTTGATTCTCAGTCAGGGCACATGCTCAGGTTGTGGGCTCGATCCCCAATAGGGAGTGTTTCTCTCTCATCGATGTTTCTATCAATATTTATTGATTTATTGCAGAGAGGAAAGGAGAGAGAGAGATAGAACCATCAGTGATGAGAGGGAATCATTGATCGGCTGCCTCCTGCTTACCCCACACTGGGGATCTAGCCTGCAACCCAGGCATGTGCCCTGACCCAGATCTAACAGTGATCTCATGGTTCATAGGTCCATGCTCAATCACTGAGCCCCACTGACCAAGCTATGAGCTTCTGTAGATTTTTTCCCCAATAATTTACAATGGCACCCTGGAAGAATATTAATAATTACAGTAACATTTATAGAGTACTTATGATGTACCAGACACTCATAATTATCTGGTAAGGTATTATAAGTATGCCTAGTTTAAAACGTGTAAACTGAAGCTCACGAAGGTTAAGTACCTTACTTAAATCACAGACTAGGAAGTGGTTGCATTGGTGTTTGAATGTAAAAGGTTGACTCTAGGACATGGGTGGTCAACTGCAAAGGGACAAGTAATAAGTATTTTATGCCATAAAGTTTGTGTTAATACTCAACTCTGTCTTTGCAGAAGGAAAGCAGCCTAAGACAATATGTAAATGAATGAGCTTGGTTTAGTCTTAAAAAAACTTTATTCATGGACACTGAAATTTGAATTTCATATATTTTTCATGTCATGAAGTATTCTTCTTTTATTGTTTTTCAACATTTAAAAAATGTAAAAACAATTCTTACCCTATGGGTTGTACACCACCGTGTGGTAGGCTGGATTTGGCCTGCAGAATAGTTTGTTGACCTCTGCTCAAGGCTCTTAATGACTAAACTATTTTTCTAGTGGTGTCTTTTTATAATTCTTTTAAACAGCCACTACATTTACATTTCAGCATTATTAAGTTATGTCAGACTTTTATCATATAAAATTATGTTTGAGAAAAGAAGTTTTGTTTTTTATAATACATATATTAGGTTGGATAGTATGAAATTGGCCAATATTGACCAATTTACTACCTAACTATTGAGGAGTAAATGATAAAATAAGTAAGGAATTCTGAAGAATTCAACAGAGACAGAAAAATCCAGCAGAGGAAAAGAATTACTTAGAGGTACAGTTAAACTGGAAATATTCTTTCCTTATTTTTGTTATTTCTTTTCCCTTTCTTCTCTTTCCTTTTCCCTTTTTCTTTGACTTAGCAAATGAAATAGATTTCAGGCACAATTGGTCTCTTCCTCTCACAATTTTCCATCTTTACTTCTAAGTCTTTTTCTCCCTAACTGCCAGACACTTTTCATACCAACATCATTTTAATTCATCAAACATTCTGTTTTCCTTCATTCAAAATTTACCTCGAAGTCAGTCTTCTCTAGAATGCACACTGAGCAAGTTAAGAATAGAGACAGCTGCCAAAAAGAGAAGGTTAAAAATAAATGAAGTCCTGGCAAGTTTTGCTAAGTGGTTAGAGCATCAGCCCATGGACCAAAGGGTCACAGGTTCATTATCTGGTCAAGGGCACATAACTCGATTGCAGGTTTGCTCCCCACCCCTGGTGGGGTCACATGCAGGGGGCAACCAGTTGATATGTCTCTCTCACATAGCTCTCTTCTCCTGCTCCTCCTCCTCCTCCTCCTCCTCCTCCTGCTTCCCTTTCATTCTCTCTGAAAATCAATGGAAAAAGATCCTTGGGTGTGGATTAAAAAAAAAAAGAAATCAATGAAAAGGTTTTGAGCATTCCATCAAAAATAGAGGGTTTACATGGGAAAAACAACAACAACAAGCTTTTGCAACTATTTATAATGCACCAGATTCTGCTGCTTTGTTTCGTTTTGAGCATATAATAGACCAGGATGAAAAATGGTTGAAGGAACGGGATTTGGGATCTTCTGCTTTCCACTAGAATGCAATCACTACAAAAAATAGGTTTCTGTCTTAGTCACTGCTAAATTCCCAGCATAACACGGTTTCTGGAATATGATAGGTGTTGAATAAATAGCTCTAGAATAAACAAATGATTGTTGAAGAGTGAGTTTGGACATGAAATCAGGAGCACAGTAATTAAACATGATAGTATTGTCTTGTCCTAATGAGCCCTTCCTTAGCCACAAGTAAAAGCAATGAGGGAAATACTATGAGTCATTTAGACTAACGGTTACTTAGTAATTATGACGTGACATGAGCTTAAAGATAATGCGACCATTGTCATTTTGGTACTGATAACAATCAAAGATGGGATTACTGGAAAATCCAGTAAGATCATGATTCCTAGACTTTATATAGGCAGATTCCAGAAAGGTCAATTAAAAATTAGGTGTGATCCTATAGGCCAAAATTATAAACAAAAGGAATGAAGGCATATGAGATTTCAGGATGTTCTAAAACAAAAATTCTAACACGTAATCATGCAGTTGGCCATGATACAGTATATGAGGCCTGTGAAGCTGAGTTTCTCAATCTCGGCATTATTGACGTTTGGAATCTGATGCTTCTTTGTGTGGGGCTGTCCTGTGCATTGTAGGATGGTTAGCAGCATCCCTGTCCTCTACCCACTGGACACCAGAAGTACCCAACCGTGTGGTTGCAACCGAAAAATAAAAATTTCAGACATTCCAAAACCGAGAACAACTGTCCAAAAAGAAGGAACAGGAGAAAGATTACATCTTCAGGTTTTAGAAATACTTATAGATAAATGAGGGAGAGGGGCATAGTTTACCACCTCAACATGTGCCTTTGGGGAGATCTTAATTGTCTTAAGCTGGTTACTTTTAAGAAAGGAAAGGCTCAAGAAGAACCTTTCATCTCCCCCCTAACTGCCTAAAAGAACTTAGATGCAGGACCTGCACCAGGAAGGGAGCTATCATCACAGATAACTGTAGTTTAATATGAACTAAGTGTGATAGACAGGGAGGAACCTAGCAAGGCCCATTTGATCAGGGTCCTCTCTGGGTCCCATTGTTAAAGATGGCCCAGCAAACATGTATTTACCAAACATTTGCTTTTCCATCTCCATGTAAATTGACTTCCTCCCCTTTGAAGTCCCAAACCACTAACCCCCACTTTTCTCCTTAGCTCAAGATGGCAGATAAGCCTCAACTGCCCCATATTTTTATGGAACCCCCATATGTACATACATAATTAAGTTTGGCTATGTTCTTCTCTAAATCTGTCTCATCTCATTTTATTATTAGACTAGCTAGCATAAGTAAGAATGAAAAGAGGGAAAAATTTTCCCTTCCCCACACAAAT